CAATCCACAGCTACATGGGTCCATCACGGGACCCCCGAGGCGACCTTCACCCCTACGGCGGCCAGTCTCCAACTAAGCGAGCCCGTTCTCCTCCCTACGGAGGACCGTCTCGCCTTGTTGATAGCGCAAGTGGTAGACCACGCTCTTGATGCCAGGGCACAAGCCTCTAGTTCAGGGGTTGTCCTTCCGCCTCCTACTCACCAATCGGTCCCTCAGACTTATTATGCCCCATCTTCCCCATCTGGGTCTACCTGTTCTGAGGGTTCATCCCTCCATGCACATGACATTGATCAGGGGATTCCAATGTCTGAGGAGGAGGAGCTTCCCCCAGAAGACCCCTCCTTCAGCGGCCTCTTTAATCCTTCCTTCTTTGTCACATTGCTCTGCAAAGCCACATCCACAGCCCATCTAGGGCCTAATCCTTCCGCATGAACAACCACCATTTCCTCAGAATCAGAGGTGGATCCAAATTTCACCAAACCGGTGGCTGCTCAACACCACATTCCTTGTCCCTCCATGTTCTTGAATGCAATAAGGAAACAACGGATATCTCCAGCCTCACTTCCCCTTCCAGGTAATATGGATAAAAACTTATACAACGTAGCCAAGGATTTGGAGGAGGCACTGGAAGTGCCTGCGGTGGACGAGCCATTCGGGCCCCTAGTATCCCCCACTGCCATTCCCGGAGATGTCTCTGAGGCTCTCAAAGCAGAGGACCGTAAGTGTGAACTCACCTATCACAAAACGCATCAAGCAGCTGCATGGGCTATTAGGGCAGCCACCTCTGCATCCTTCTTCAATAGGTCCGCTCTCTGCTGGCTCAGGCAACTCCAGGCCTGTATACCAGCGGAGGATATCCATACACATCAGGATCTTAGCAAAATGGTAGCAGCCACAGAGTACGCATCAGATGCCACCCTCCAAGCTTCCAGGTTTTCCTCCAGGGATATGGCGTCTAACGTAACTGGTCGCCGTATTCTGTGGTTGAATCACTGGCACGCAGACGCCAAGTCCAAGTGGCATCTTTCAGCTGCCCCATATCAGGGAGGTAAACTGTTTGGAAATGTGTTGAATCCTTATTTAACTGAGAACAAGGATAAGCACAAGGTTCTTAATCACCTCATTAAAAAAGTGGACAAATGGGCCAATTATTACCAATGGCGGCAGCCATTTCATGCAGGAGCTAGGTATAGCTACCCCCAACCTACACGTTTCTTTCTGGCTAGACAGGACAGACAAGAGAGACAGCCTGACAGACAGACAGACAGGCCTAGACAGCAGTTTCAGGGCAAGCAGCCCTTTCGCTGGAACGGCCGACCGTTCCGCCGATTCAGGTGACTCTCTGGCCAGTCCTCCCATAGGGGGCAGACTTTCCCTCTTTGCCCACCAATGGGAGGCCATCACCACAGACGTGTGGGTACTAAACACCATACATCACGGTCTGTCCCTAGAGTTCATTTCCAATCCTCCAGTTCATTTTCTATCTTGTCCCTACCCGTGAAACCGAACAAAAAAGAGATTAATGAACGAGGCCATTCAACATCTGTTAAATATACGAGCCATAGAATCGATACCAGCGGACCAGAGAGGTCGGGGGTTCTACTCTATCCTCTTTGTCGTTCCAAAGGCGTCAGGGGGATGGAGAACCAGTTTAGATCTCAAAGTCCTAAATTTTCATCTGGCATACCGCAAATTCAAAATGCAAACACTCCGCTCCATCTTAGGAAGTGTAAGAAAAGGGGACTTCCTGATGTCTATTGACCTTATGGAAACGTATCTCCATATCCCCATCTCTCTTGCCCACCACCGATTTCTAAGGTTCACATACAAGGGGTGCCATTTCCAATACAGGACTCTCCCATTTGGCCTCTCATCAGCTCCCAGAGTCTTTACAAAGATCCTGGCAGTCCTGGCAGCTCACTTAAGGATGATACCAGTCAGAGTCCAATGTTACCTGGACGACATATTAATCCAGTCATCATCCATCCAGTCCGCCAAGACGGAGCTAGAACTGGTGGTAAAGCTGCTCCAAGACCATGGCTTTTCCATAAATTTTCCCAAGAGTCATATGGTTCCCACAACCAGGCTACTGTACCTCGGGGCCATCATAAACACGGTGGAGTGCCGGGTGTAGTTATCTCAAGAACGCTGGAACAGCATAAGAGAGTCAATCCTCACACTGCACAGGGGTCAGACAGCAACACTGGTCAATCTCTCCCAGCTGTTACGCAAGATGATCTCGGCCATAGCAATTGTCCCCTGGTCCCGGCTTCACTCCAGGGAACTCCAGTGGTTCATGCTCCCCTTCTAGAGATGGAACCTCAGTGCCTCCCATCGAAGGACAGGAATCCCACAACAGGTAGTGCGATCCCTCAGGTGGTGGTTGTCACCCACCATACTCAGAGGGTTATGTTTCAGGGAACCAGAACGGCTAGTGCTAACAACCGATGCCAGCCTGTTCGGCTGGGGAGCACACCATCATTTGCAGTGGGCACAGGGCCGTTGGTCTCGCTCAGACCTTCGCCACAACATAAATTGGCTCGAGTTAAGGGCCATACATCTAGCCCTTCGCCACTTTCACAGTCTGGTAAAGGGGCGTCACGTACTGGTCCTTATGGACAACGTGGCCACCAAGGCTCATGTGAACTGCCAAGAGGGCACCAAATCTCGGGACTTACTGACCGAGTCGCTCTTACTGGGATCTTGGGCAGAGCACAATCTGGCCTCCATCAGGGCCGATCATATTTCAGGAGAGGCAAACACTCAGGCCGACCTTCTGAGCAGAACTACGGTGGATCACTCAGAGTGGCGCCTTCACCCGAGGGTCTTCAGAGAGATCTGTCACCATTTCGGCCTTCCACTTTTGGACCTCTTTGCGTCCCCGAGCAACACTCAGCTGCCTCGGTTCTTCTCCTGTTTCCCATTCCAGGGGTGGAACAGACGGATGCTCTTCAGAGCCCATGGCCACAAGGTCTGCTTTATGCCTTCCCTCCTCTACCTCTTATCCTGGCGGTAGTACGCAAGCTTCTTCAGAAGCAAGCGGAGATACTCCTGGTGGTCCCTTATTGGCCAAGGAGGCATTGGTTCGCCGATCTGATGAACCTCACTCTAGCAGACCCTTGGCAGATTCCTCTGGAACAGGTCTCTCTCAGCCAAGGCGTTATTCTCCATCCGGATCCCCAATGGCTCCAGTTAGCCATCTGGCACTTGAGCACTCACTCTTGACATGGGAGCTCTACTCCCCGGGGGTCATTACTGTCATCCAGGCCTCACGTCGTCCTTCCACAAACCATATATACGAGGCCATGTGGAAGAATTTTCAATCATGGTGCTCTGGTTATCATTTGTCACTCTTGGAACTCACTATTCCCCATATCCTGGACTATCTGTTACAGGGCCTGGAGCAGGGCTTGGCCCCAAACACTTTGCGCAGACAGATAGCTGCTCTTTCCACGGTCCTCACCTGCGACTCTGTGGAGTCTTTGGAACATCACCCTTTAATTCGCTCATTCCTTAAGGGGGCTTCTAATACCAGACCCCCTATGGTGCACAGGTACCCTTCATGGGAACTACCACGGGTTCTTTGGGCTCTTACCAGGTCCTCTTTTGAGCCCCTGAGGACGTGCAACGTTCGCTATCTGTCCCACAAGGTGGCATTCCTGGTGGCAATCACGTCGGCACGACATATTTCAGAATTGGCAGCACTTTCAACACGGGATGATCTCTGCATTTTCCACCAGGATCGAGTGATCCTTCGACTCGACCCTACTTTCATCCCAAAGGTTAACTCTCTGTTCCATAGATCCCAGGAAATAGTGCTGCCAGACTTTTGCCCCAACCCATCGCATGCTCTGGAACGGCAATGGCATAGCCTGGATGTCCGTAGGGCACTTCGCTACTATATTTCATGAACAGCGATGTTCCGCAAATCAGAAGCCTCTTTGTATCCTTCCATCCTTTCTCCAGGGAGCGGAAGGTTTCCTCTTCCATAACTGGCAGGTGGATCAGGGCGTGCATTGCCGGGGCGTACCAAGCTGAGTCATTGCCGGTTCCACGATGTGTTATGGCCCACTCTACAAGGAGTGCGACTTCTGCAGCATGGGCCACCCAGGCGTCCATTGAGGATGTCTGCAGGGCGGCTACATGGACTTCACCATCTCCTTTCATACAACACTACAAGATTGATAGGTTTGCCTCAGCAGAGGCTTCCTTCGATAGGAGAGTTCTCCAACAAGTTTTGCATCAAAGTGCCACACCGAACCAGTCTACTACCCACCCTCAGGGACAGTAGGCTTTGGTATGTCCCATTGGTGGATTCTCCATCTCCAGTGCTGGAGAAGGGGCATTGTCTTACCTGAACACCTTTTCTCAGCATGGAGATGAAGAATCCACTCCCGCCCTTATAGGTAAATTAGGCCTAGGGTTAGTTATTTTTTATGAGCCACAACGTCTTGCTGTCAGTCAATGGCTACGCTTACGTCAAGACTGGGATCTCTATGGTCCAAGACGGGCATGGCAACTTTGGCTGACTTGATCTGATTGGGCAGGAATACAGTCTAAACCCATTGGTGAATTCTCCATCTCCGTGCTGAGAAAAGGCGTTCAGGTAAGACAACGCCCCTTTTAGTGCCATAAACAGTTTTCTGAGGAAAGATGTAAAATTAGCTACTCTAGCTTCTGCAGGTTCTAATGTACTTATTCTGCATTAAAATAACTCTTTCCAAAATCTCAAATATATATATTTCTTTTCAATATTGTGCCTATGAGGATGTTACCACTTCATCAGCAGTTCTAAGTGTATTGAAAGTAAAGAGAAAGGATGTTGGTAAAATTCATTGAACAGACTGAGCATGTTTCAATGAACATCTCTCAGAACAAGAATCCTGATTTCCAACTTTAAGACAAGTAGGGTATATGTGTGTGTATATATATAAACACACAGACACATCCCAACACCCACACCTGCTCCACCTAATAGTAAGAGAATGGGGAATACTTACAGCAAAATTGATCTTCGATGGCTCTAATGGTCTTTGTGCTTCTTTTTTTAAAATAATTTTGCCCAGGGCTTAATTCAACCTGTAAAATAACAAAAACACATGCTCATCAGAGAAATGCATTTCAGACAAAAAATAGCATTTGACAATGTGAATAAGATCTGGAGCTCAAATTAAACACTTTACCCAAAAACAAACACAAGACACAGCTTTGATGCTAAGAGTTGGCTTAGTTTACATTATATATTTTGGAATAAAAGGCTCACTTTACCTTGGGGGTAGGATAACGACTACAAACTGGGTAAAAATTCATCACATAAAATTTATGGGAGAGACTCAATTTTGGCAGGAAGATTTGGATTTTTTAAAAATAAAAATAAAAATTTTGGCCTATTTCTCTACATAGATTGCCCATGATAGGAGCCAGAGAATGTTTTATCTGAGACACATTCAGACCAGGAAAAATGTCTGACAAATTCAAGAGTAAATTGTATAACAGAATAATAGAGTTGGAAAGGGACCTTGGAAGTCTTCTAGTCCAACCCCCTGCTCAAACAGGAGATGCTATACCATTTCAGACATGTGTTTGTGTGTCTGTGTGTGCGTGTGTGTCTCCCCCAACAAGGACTAAACATCATCTCCCTCTGAATTTGATCTTGAAACATCTTAATTCAAAGAAAAAATAAATATAAGTAGCTCATTTAAAAAACTTTGGCACTGGCAGCCGCAGAAGTCTCAAGAAGATACAAAAGTTGATTTTGGGTATCAATGGCTCATGACTGAATATCTGCAATTGCTTTTTGAGGAGTTCAGCACCTGACGATTAGCAGTATAGGTCCATATGTATTTCTTGTCAAGTGTTTTGAGTTTTGCAACTGGCATTTTTCAAAGTTGCCCAGGTAACAGAATGCTGCTAAGCCACACAGGATATAACCAAAACAGTACTATAAAATTTTGATTGCTTTGTAAAATGGATTAAAAAGAAAACAATTTTGCAACAGCAAGTCAATTTGAAGTAGAAGGCAAGGAAGAAAATCCAAAAAAGGTCTTTAAAAAGTCTAAAACCACAAAAAGTCTTGAGGTACAAGGCAATTCTAGCTTTGCTCACTGTCTGGAAATCTTGGATGCCTGAAAATTTTACATCCATTCAGCTGCCAGGAAAAAAAAAAGGCATAAATTAACAGGACTGTATATAAATTCCAGCAGAAGTGTCTTCTGTGCATGTATTAAAGACTAGAAAATGCTAAGCATGCAACATATTACTATCTTGAGAGGACCATTCAAACGTCTTCCAATCTTCTCACAATACTATAATATGATCAAAATGCAGCCCTAAACTTACTGAACATAGAATAACAGAGTTGGAAAGGACCTTGAAGGTCTTCTAGTCCAACCTCCTGATCAACTAAGAGACTCTGTACCATTTCAGTCAAAAGGTTGTCCAGTCTCTTCTTAAAGGCCTCCAGAGATGGAGCACCCACAACGTCTGAACTCACTGAAACCCTTTGGACATTTCTGAGCTGTCACACATGGAATGATTCAACAGTGTAAACTATAACATAATAAATTATCTTTGCAGCAGTATGAATTATTGGATTTGAGATACTTGATTAGCTTGAGTTAAAGACAGTTGGCCTGAATTATTAGATTAATTTAAGTGATTGTGATATTTGCATTAATTATTTTTAAGTCTACACTGAAACTCTTTCAGCCTTCTGAAACAAAACCAGGCATTCTATAAACTGATTAAACTGATCAATTGAGTGTTTTGAGTTGAAAATCATTCACATTTGAAACATTTTAGCTACTGTTAGATGCAATCCATGTCTTTGCTTGAAAATGTGTCCACTTGTCTAAGGAAAAAAAACAACATCCCGGTAAATTAGGGTGGTAGAGACCATTTTGGGAATCCCAAATGGATTAACTCATTCATATAGAAGAAAACTATGATGTACCAATGAATTGGAAAACAATTTCTTTGTCCCCATTCACATACACAGCCATTTCAGTTTGGTTGGCAAGTCACTTTTATTCAGTGGGAATCCCAGATATTCAGTTTTTGAGATATAATCTTTTAGGTGAGATAGAAGTATTGTGTAAGCCAGACTGAATATATCAAAACATATCACCTTTGTGACCTCCAAGGAAAATAGAGTTTGCAAAAGAAAATTATGCTAAAAGTGATGATAAAAGCAACACATGCAATTCATTTAAATTCACTTTCGGTCACTGAAACCTCTCACATATGGTTGCAGAACTGCCCCAATTTTATTGCATATTAATATACCTTACCTGAAATCCTAAAACATCAGAAGTTACATAAGAGCACAGGAGACTATATTTTACTGGCTGTTATTTCTGCAGCATAACCAAGTCAGATACAGCTGCTGTAAAGCCCTCTCAACTAAGTTAAGGCTTTGATTTTAGCTTATTTATAGATCTGTACATTATGTAAACCTAACAAATAGTTTAATTCAATCCTTCACCTCATTTTGAGCTTGAAACAGCTGTTTTGCCCAAATAGGCTGCCTCAGTCAAAGTGAGTTTAGAACTACTGTGTTTCAAGTCCCCAGTCCTCTTTTAAGCTTACAACCCTTTACAAATAAGCTGAACAGCCCATCTGAAAATGCAAAATAGTTGTTTCAAACTCAGTCAGGACACTCAGTATGATTTAGACCTGATACATTTACATTCCCCTGGTTAACTCAGTAACTAGTGGCAAGTGGCAAAAAGGTGACAAGCAACAGAAAGAAAGCAGAACTATTTAACTCGTTTTTTGCATCTGTCTTTACACAAAGGGAAAAAATAGACCAACCTATCAAAAATAGCGCCATAAAAAACAGAATAGAAACACAAGATAGGCAAGAAAATGGTAAGTGAGCACCTGTCCAGCCTAGACGAGTTCAAATCACCAGGACCAGATGGATTACACCCCAAGGTTCTCAAGGAACTGGCAGATGTGATCTCTGAACCATTGAACTATATTTTTCAAAGATCCTGGAGCACTGGGGAACTACCGGAGGACTGGAAAAGAGCTGATGTAGTTCCCAGCTTCAAAAAAGGGAAAAAAAATGGACCCAGGAAATTACAGACCTATCAGCCTGACCTCAATATCTGGGAAGATTCTGGAAAAGATAATCAAACAACAAATCAGCGAACACCTAGAGGCAAACAAAGTCATTACTAAAAGCCAACATGGGTTTGTCAAAAACAGATCATGCCAGACAAATCTTATTGCATTCTTTGACCAAGTGACAAAATTAGTGGATCAGAGGAATGCTGTGGATATAATTTATTTGGACTTCAATAAGGCATTTGATAAAGTAGATCATAACCTACTACTTGATAAGATAGAAAAATGTGGGTTAGACAGCATCATCACCTGATGGATCTGTAGCTGGCTGACCGGCCGTACTCAGCGTGTAGTCCTCAATGGAACCGCATCTACATGGAGGGAAGTGTGTAATGGGGTGCCCCAGGTCTCTGTTCTGGGCCCAGTACTTTTCAACATCTTCATCAACGATTTGGATGAGGGGATAGATGAGGAACTCATCAAATTCACAGACGACACTAAGCTGGCAGGAATAGCCAACACTCCAGAAGATAGGCTTAAGATACAGGAGGATCTGGACAGACTTGAACACTGGGCACTATAACAAAATGAAATTCAATGGTGAAAAAAGTAAGGTTCTACATTTAGGCAAGAAAAACCAAATGTTTTTGTATAGTATAGGGCGGTACCTTGCTCAATAGTAGTAACTGTGAGAGGGACCTCGGAATCCTAGTGGACAATCACTTAAATATGAGCCAGCAGTGTGCTGCAGCTGCCAAAAAGGCCAACACAGTGCTAGGCTGCTAGGAATAGAATCAAGATCACGTGAAGTATTAATACCACTTTACAATGCCTTGGTAAGGCCACACTTGGAATACTGCATCCAGTTTTGGTCACCATGATGTAAAAAAGATGTTGAGACTCTAGACAGAGTACAGAAAAGAGCAACAAAGATGAGTAGGGGACTGGAGGCTAAAGCATATAAAGAACGGCTGCTGGAATTGGGTATATCTAGTTTAATGAAGAGAAGGACGAGGGGGGACATGATAGCAGTGTTCCAATATCTCAGGGGCTGCCACAAAGAAGAGAGAGTCAAGCTATTTTCCAAAGTACCTGAAGGCAGGACAAGAAGCAACGGATGGAAACTAATCAAGGAGAGAAGCAACCTAGAACTAAGGAGAAACTTCCTGACAGTTAGAACAATTAATCAGTGGAACAACCTGCCTCCAGAAGCGGTGAATGCTCCAACACTGGAAGTTTTCAAAAAGAGACTGGACAGCCATTTGTCCGAAATGGTATAGGGTTTCCTGCCTGAGCAGGGGGTTGGACTAGATGACCTCTAAGGTCCCTTCCAACTTTATTATTATTATGATTGTTGTTGTTGTTATTATTATTATTATTATTATCATGGATCATGGATCATTGCACAGTCAGCCAGATGTTCAGACTGGATTTGGCATTTTGTCTACCTATCGAGTCCTTACCCAGGACCTAGGATAGGCAGATGTGGATGTTTGATGGTATTACAGATATCGTCGCAGGATGGAAGCAGTTCCTAATAAGGCCGCCTTTTGCAATTGACTAATAGCGAATTTGTCAATGCCAATGGTGTTCAAGTGGTGCTCCAGTTGTTTTGGGATTGCACCCAAGGAGCCTATTACTATTGGTACTAACCTTGCTTGCTTTTGCCACAGTCTTTCTATTTCTATTTGTAGGTCTTTGTATTTTGTTATCTTCTCCAGTTCTTTCTCGTCTATTCTGTTGTCTCCAGGCACTGCCACGTCCACTATCCAGACTTTTTTGTCTTTCTTATCGACAATTGTTAAGTCTGGGGTGTTATGTTGCAGGTGCTTGTCTGTTTGAATTCTGAAGTCCCAGAGCAGTTTAATTTTATCATTTTCTATGACTTTCTCTATTTTATGATCCCACCAGTTTTTGCTTACAGGCAAATAATATTTTTTGCAGATCTTCCAATGTACCATTGTTGCTACTTTGTCATGCCGCTGCTTGTAGTCAGTCTGTGCAATCTTCTTGCAACAGCTTACCAGGTGGTCCACTGTTTCTTCAGCTTCTTTGCATAGGCAGCACTTACTGTCTGTTGCTGTCTTCTCAATTTTGACTTTATATGCATTTGTCCTTAAGGCTTGGTCTTGTGCAGCCAGAATTAGTCCCTCGGTCTCTTTCTTCAATTTTCCTGCTCTTAGCCATTGCCAGGTCTTGTTATTATCTGCTTTCCCAGCTATTTTTTTAATGTATTGGCCATGTAGTGCTTTGTCTTCCCATGCCTCTATTCTGTTCTTCATTTGGTCTTTCTTGTAAGCCAGTTTGGTCTCTCCAGTAGTTAGTAAGCCTTCCTGATATACTAATTTCAGTGCATCTTCATCATTGTTCTTCAGATATTCTTCCAAAGCCATTTTTTCTTCTTCAACCATCTGATGTACTTGTAGCATTTCATGCCCACCTATTTGCCTTGGTAGATAAAGTCTATTAATGTCACTGCGTGGATGAAGAGCATGATTCATTGTCATTATTTTTCTGGTCTGCCTATCCATTGCTTTTAGTTCTGCTTGAGTCCAGTCCACTATTCCAGCTGTGTACCTAATGACTGGAATTGCCCAGGTGTTGATAGCCTTTATGGTATTTCCTCCATTGAGTTTGGACTTTAAGATCTTCTTCACTCTCTTGATGTATTCACCTCTAATCTTTTTCTTGACTTCAGTGTGCTTGATGTTGTCAGCTTGAAGGATAGCCAAGTATTTGTAGTACTCTTCCTCATCCAGACTCTTAATGTTATTTTCGTGGGGCATCTTGATTCCTTCAGTTTTCACTATTTTTCCTTGTTTGATAGTAAGTGTGGCACATTTGTCCAAGCCAAACTCCATAACAATATCTTGGCTATATATATGGATAGTGTTGAGCAGCGATTCTATTTCAGATGATGTTTTTCCATACAGCTTCAGATCATCCATGTAAAGGAGGTGGGATAGCCTGGCAGATGTTTTTGATGTTTGCTAGCCATGTCCTGAGTTATTCAGTATTGTTGACAGAGGAAATAGTGCAATAACAAATAGTAATGGTGATAATGAATCTCCTTGAAATATTCCTCTCTTTTTTTTAATATTTTTTTTTTATTTTCCATTTATTCATACAAAATACAATTCACAAGATAAAATAAATTCATAACCATTGGTACCACCTGCCCATTCCCCCCAGGCCACGTCCACCCTCTCTGGTACCTTCCCTACTTCCCTCCTCTTTCTCTCCTCCCCTCCTACTCTCTTCCCCTCCCCTTCTCCTCTTACCATCCTACTTCCTCCCTGCACCTTCCTCCCCTCTCATCCCTCTCAAACACATGAACGCAGCATAGGGGAAATGCCCAAGCAGCACGTCTCTCGTAAACTACCATATCTATATAATCCACCCTCTCACCCACCCTCAACCCTCCCCCCCTCACTTCCCAGAGCAGAGTACAGGGTTATTAATGAGAAAGTTAACAATAAAAAAAAGAAGAAAAGAAAAAAGAAAAGGGAAGAAAAGAAAAAAAATATCATACTTAACCTTTAACTCCCCTTAAATTAAATCATCATAAACGAATCTCTACAACATTTGCTATAAAATTTACTCATAAAATAAATGAAACTTTGTAGTCCCATACTTTTTCTGAATATAATCTATCCATCTTCTCCATACAATAATATATCTTTCTTGTGTATGATTCTTCAAATAAGCAGAATTTTTTGCCATTTCTGCAAAACTAGAAACTTTAAATATCCATTCTTCTAAAGTAGGCAACGAATCTTTCTTCCAATATGAGTCTACTAGTAACCTTGCTGCAGTTAATAAATTCAACATTAAAATAGTTTCTTTGTTATTTAAGTCCACAAAAATACCCAATAAGAGTACTTGAGGAGTGAACTTTATCTTCCTTTTAAAAATCTTTTGAAATCATAATCCAAAAAGCCTTTACCTTTTTACAATTCCACCAAACGTGAAAATATGTCGCATCCATATTACCACATCTCCAACATTTGGGTTGTAAATCTGAATACATACAAGATAATTTTTTAGGATCTAGATGCCATCTATAAAACATTTTATAAAAATTTTCCCTCAAATTTTGAGCTTGTGTAAATTTAACATTTCTAATCCAAATTATCTCCCATAAGTCCAATGGGATCGGTTCCTGGATATTCTGAGCCCATTTAATCATACAATCTTTGACAATTCTGTTTCCGAGTCTAATTCTATTAAAGCGTTATAAATTATTTTTATATGGGCCTGATTCTGATCTTTAATCTGAATAACCAAATTTTCATCTTCTAATGTTATTCCCTCTTTCTTATCTACAGTCCACCTGTCCACTATTTGTAAATATTGAAACCATGACTGTAGAATATTTTCTTGCCTTAATACATCTAGGGATTTTAAATGCCAGTCCAAACCTGACCAAATTAATAATTCTTTATACGAAGTTTTATCAAAGTTCATCCCCTTAGAAATTCCCTCGACTGCATGTCTAGGAATCTTCCAGATAGGTATTTTATAATTTAACCTATGATAATACTTTTTCCAAACTCGAAGTAAGGCACTCCTCAAAATATGTGATTTAAAAGCCCGATCCACTTTCTTATTAAAAATTAAATATGCATGCCAACCATACATTAAATCCCACCCTTCAAGAACAAGAATATCCTTGTTGGTTAAATTAAGCCAATCACTTATCCAAGTTAAGGCGGCTGCATCATAATATAATTTCAAATTAGGTGCTTTAAGTCCTCCTCTTTCTCGGGCATCTTGCAAAATCTTAAACTTAATCCTTGGTTTTTTCCCAGCCCAAATGAATTTACTGATACCCTTCTGCCATTCTTCCAAATTTACATCTTTTTTTAAAATAGGTATCATCTGAAACAAGAAAAGAAACTTTGGTAGAACATTCATTTTTACGGCTGAAATTCTCCCCAACAGTGACAATTGCAGTTTTTTCCAATCATTTAAACCCTTTTGTACTTTTGCCCATAATAATTCATAATTATTCTTATATAATTTTCCATTTGAAGCAGTTAAATATACTCCCAGGTATTTAACCTTTTTCACCATCTGAAAACCTGTAGCTTTAACCAAACTTTCCTTATCATTAACTGACATATTCTTAGGTAGTATCTTAGTCTTATGATTATTGACTTTAAAACCAGAAACTTTTCCATACTGTGTTATAAGTTCTAATAGACAATCAACCGCTCGAGTCGGTTGTTCCAAAATTAAAACCAAATAATCCGCAAAAGCCCGTAATTTATACTCATTCTTTCTTATCTTTATACCCTTGATTACCGTTGATTCTCGAATCTGGATCAACAAAA